CAAGATAACTTTACGACACATGCTATAGCAAGAAAACTACAACGCATGCTATTGCAAGACAACTTTACGCTTAATATAGCAAGATATCTACGACACATGCTATATCAAGATAACTTTACGACACATGGTATAGCAACAAAACTTTACGACACGATACAGAGAGAAAACTCTACGACGCATGTTATAGCAAGGCATGTTAGCAAGAAACATACAAGGCAACTTTTCACAAGACAATACTATGAAGTAGTGATGGTGAGATGAGGCTTCATGATGCATTGAAGCTTTCCATCCAAATGATCCAAGCTTTACTGCGCCATCAAGTGGACAATAAATGTAAACCAGATTATGACGTGACTGTTCTGTTAAGCTTTAAATTGAATAATATATACACATTTGTGATGTCCATAAAGTCTATATTTGATCTGAATATGATTTTAATCAGTTTGTTAGACTAACTGGTTCAAAAAGGAAAATGCATGAAGAAAAATAGGGAAAGAGTATTGATGTGATTGTGAGACATTGCCAATGATATTGGAGACATTAGTTTTGTACTTGTACTATGATCCTGAGTTGTTTTTTTTAGATTGATGGTGTGTTTTATCAATGTTCTTTTGAACACAACTCTGTACACGCTTCGAAGCATCACTACTATAAGACACATGCCATCTCTAATTTGGGATTAAACTTCCTCTAAAAAACTTGCTCTATGAAACACCAGAAACTTTTCCCAGTGTAGATGTAACGACCTGTCTGATACTGAACACCTGTTAAGATCAGTTTGGTTGCTGCACTGCAGTAAGAAGCTGGTGAAACAAGGTGGCAGGCTGCTCTAGCTGTGTACGGTTCTTCCACATGCCAAGTCTTCAAACATCATCCAAAATTTGTTTCTCTTTTAAGCTTCTATTCAAATCCCTTTCCTCCAATAAACCCACAAAACACTTGCTGTTCCACCAGTAACGCAGGTTGTTCTCAGATGGTTTAGATTTGCTCTTTATTAACATTTACACACAAATATCACAACTCATATACATAAAAATATATTAAGTATAGAAATATAGATTTTATTTTACAAAGTAGCTTAAAACTGGTACTGGGTGGAGGTAGATTAGCTGTCAGGCTGGGTTTAGTCCGGTCTCAGAAGTCTGCATCCAGTCTGAAGGAGTTTGTTGGTCCAGACATGACCCCCATCCTCTGGTACTCCCCGACCCTCTTCTCAAAGAAGTTGGTCTTTCCCTCCAGAGAGATGTTCTCCATGAAGTCAAAGGGGTTGTCCGATTGGTAGATCTGCAGAGACAAATAGTGGTCTGACTCGGGTCTGGTTGCAGGATCTGAGCAGAGTCCAGCAGGACCACAGATGGGTTCAGTCGTGCGTCTGTGTCGCGCTGCTGCAGATTCTGACAGAACCACACGTTCAACATCAGTTTCTGCAGCAGCACTCAGCCCCCATGATTCGGCTGAGGTCCGTACCCCTGCGCTTCTCATCACCACCCGTCTGCTGGTCCCAGTTCAGAACCCACGGACCCAGTTCAGTGGTTACCTTAGAGAAGCCGAGCTCCAGCAGCAGCCTGTTGGCCACGAACTCGATGTACTGCTTCATCATGTCACAGTTCATCCCGATCAGCTTCACGGGCAGGGCTTCGGTCTGGAACTCCTGCACACACACAGCTGTCAGTTAAACGCTTAGCCCCGCCCCCATCAACACACCTGACACCAGACCCACCTGCTCGATCTCCACGGCGTTCCTGACGATCTTGGTGACGGTTTCTGACGACGGCTTGTTCACCAGGTGTTTGAACATCAGACAGGCGAAGTCACAGTGCAGACCCTGAACGCAACACAAACASCTGWTTGAAGCGTCTGCAGAGAACACCTGATATCCAGGTGTGGAGCGGCCTTACCTCGTCTCTGCTGATGAGCTCGTTGCTGAAGGTCAGACCGGGCATCAGGCCTCGCTTCTTCAACCAGAAGATGGAGGCGAACGAACCGGAGAAGAAGATCCCCTCCACAGCAGCGAACGCCACCAAACGCTCTCCTGTGGACCACCACCACCACCATCATTACCTGCTTCTACTCTACAGAACTGTGATGTCAGTGGGCGGGGCTTACCGTAGGTGGCGTTCTTGTTTTTGATCCAGTTGATCGTCCAGTCTGCCTTTTTCTTCACACACGGCAGAGTCTTGATGGCGTTGAACAGAAACTCTCTGGGGGTCATTGAACACATCGTCAGACAGGTAACCAGTACCGGCCCGGCCACAGGTAACCAGTCCCAGTCCCTCACCTCTCTGTGGGCTCCTTGATGTAGGTGTCGATCAGCAGGCTGTACATCTCAGAGTGGATGTTCTCTATGGCGATCTGGAAGCCGTAGAAACACCTGGCCTCTGGGACCTGCACCTCCTGAGAGAAACGCTCCACCTGGTGGACGAGAAGAAGTCAGTTTGAACCTGAAGCAGCCGAACCACCGATCCGACACCCAGGCTCCTCACCAGGTTCTCGTTGACGATGCCGTCGCTGGCGGCGAAGAAGGCCAACACGTGGGAGATGAAGTAGCGCTCTTCATCCTTCAGGGACTCCCAGTGCTGCAGGTCCTTGGACAGGTCCACCTGAAGAGACCAGGCTCGTTAACATGACATCATCACCAGGGGGTTCTAATAGCTCCGCCCCCTCACCTCCTCCACCGTCCAGAAGGAGGCCTCAGCCTGCTTGTACATCTGCCAGATGTCGTGGTACTGGATGGGGAAGATGACGAAGCGACGAGGGTTGTCCTTCAGCAGCGGCTCCTCCTCTCTGCTCTTCTTCACGGGTCGACACCGGAAAGAGAAAACATCAGAACTGAACCTTTATTTAATCCGAACTTGCATGTCAGTTAGCAGGGCTTTAGAGGGCGACCAATTTGATTGCAAATGTTACTCGATTTCCCAATAGTGCGACCAAAAAAAAAAAAAAGTCAGTTCGACCAATCATTCGACGGGGAGCGGTCGCCAGTCTCATCTCTTCTAATAACACACACACACATCCTCATGGGGACTTTGCACTGGCTTTCATTCATTTCCAATCAAGTCAATTCTACAGCCAAACATAACCTCCCAGGTAGACTGCACAACTGACCCAAACCTCACCAGGCTGTGTGTACCCACCATGAAGCAAAAATCTGTACACACACAGCGAAACAACGTATTTTTAAAAAAAAAACCCAGATCAGAGCCAGAAAAAAAGTTCTGTTAACTGGAGATGTAAACAAGATGTTTTGGTTGCTCGCTTGCTCGTCCATCTTGTTAATTTAACAGTCGGGGTCTGAGAGCGCAGCAGATAGTTTCAGCAGGACAAGGAAGCTCACATGTATGGCAGGCCGCTTTCGCACTTCACCACAGTTACATTCCAAGTATCTGAAATTAGTACTTCTGGGTCTCAGGAGGATAAAACTAGACATATTAGATATTTAAATGAAATATAAGATTAAACTAATGAAATTGCAGACTTGTGTTATTTAAAAAAAAATCTGCACAACCTTTTAATAAATATCAGTAACATTTGTTAATCATTATTCTCTGTTCATCATTCTGGTTTATCCAAGGCCAAAGATCCATAGTTGTCCATCTGAGGGGCAGGTGTCTAAAAGAAATAACCATGAAATGTTTAAGATGTTTATAAGACGTTCAGCCCTTAAACATTTACACTTAGAATTTTATAGAATCACTTTTAATACTTTTCAGTAAGTTATAGGTCTTGTACACTTCTGGTTCAAATAAAAAAAACTTCATGTTTACTAGATTGTTAATTATTTTCGAGTTAATGTTGCCTTAATGAACAGTGATTTTAAAAAATAAACCCGTAAAACTCTGATGTTAAATGCAACCTGGTTGAAAATTTGGGTGCACTTAACTTTTGTGCGCACCGGTGCAAAAAGTTAAACTACAGGCCTGGTTAGACACAAAAAAAAAAAAAAAAATTTAAAAGGATCTATAATCCATGAAGGTATTTGGATGCATTTAACTTGTTTAATTTTTTACACATATCTGCACAATTAGTCTTTTTCAGTTTTACAGAAACTATTCCTCTCATACAGAAGTGTTAAGACTTTTTGGACGCTGAGAAAAATCATTAAAACTCAGTAAAATCCTGGTTTATAGAATATTAAAACAATTGCTTCAAACCGGAAATGGGAGCCATGTGCCACGAGGGGAACAAAAGACACCCGAACACTTCCGGTCACTCACCTCAGCTTCGTCCCGGACAGTTTGAAGGACCAGGTCGCTCGGAGGCTGAACGGAAACAGGAAGCACTCGGTGAACTTCACGAGACAAACTTTAGTAAAACAAACCTCGGAGCGTCCAGGTGTTGTTGCTCACCTTGTTTTCCTTGTCAGAGGACGCGTCGCTGAGCGGCCGCTCAGTCCTCATGTAGCGCTCAGACAGCATCCCGACTGATTCCGCCTCTAACAAACAAACAAATAAATAAATAAACAAACAAAAACAACTAAATAAAAGTAAAGACGAGCAGAATAAACTGCAGACTGTCCTGCTGTCTGCTCGTCCGCACTAAAATATCAGCGCTTGAATTGAACTGACCAATGAAAACACAGCTCCTGCGGTGAATGACGGAGCCGGAGCCAATCAAATGGCAGCATTCAGTCACGTGATCGAGAAAAAGACCACAGCGGGTGTTTCTTATTAATGTGATTGCGCGTTTAAAACACCAGCAAAATCTGACAAAAAATAAAGGCGTAACTAAGAAATGTATCTGTAGTATTAACGCATAACGCGATTACTTTAGTTTTTATGTGCACTACGTTTGACATCGACGCTAATAAAAAAATACAGCAATTGATTTGCTAAAGTGTTTGTTGATTTCAGCGGAATAAAAGCCTGATTTTATTATAGTTTTTCTAATAATCTATTCATTCCGTACCTTTGATTAAACTGAGTTTCAGAAGCCAAAGAACGATTGAAGAGGGACACGTTCTCCATTTTGAAGCAGTCACTTCCGGATGCGGAAGTTAACATCGCCCCCTGGCGGCCGCGAGGAGCACAGCCACGTGGTTTTTGGAGGAAATAAATCAATTTCAAATAATAAATAGTTGCCAGGTTATTTGATCATTTCAAAAACTGTGACATTTTCTTAATG